GATAGATAGATAGATAGATAGATAGATAGATAGATAGATAGATAGATAGATAGATAGATAGATAGATAGATAGATAGATAGATAGATAGATAGATAGATAGATAGATAGATAGATAGATAGAAGGACAGATAGATAGAGATATGTGTGTGTGTACAGTTCATTCTTGGATGTGTTATTTTAACTTTTCAAAATCTTCCAAATTACAAACTGATATCTAGCCAAAGTATTGTATTGATGTCTGCACGCTGCATCAGAGCTGCAAGTGTTCAGTATAAATTGCTTTTCTTTGATTTTGATATATTTATGACTTAATAATAAAGAGGAATCGGGAAACAGGAAGTGCATCCGATTATTCCGGGCACAGGGGCACTGCAGTGGCTGTCATCTTGCCAGAGCTCAGGCTGGCAGTCAGCACAAACTGCAGGTAATTGAGCAGACGGTTGAACGGGGGGGCGCCTCAATGGGCCTCTGAATGCCACCAGCAGACATTAATCAAAATATTCGATCAATAACTTCTCAAGTGCTAATAAGCACTGGCACATCTAGTGATATGTGAGCCCCTTTATCATTTCAACTACCTGGAGATTTATGGGAAATCCATTGTTAGGTCCAAGGTATGAGGTAATGTAGCACTTAGTAAATGAAGTAAAACCAAAAGCCTGGGGTGATTTGTATTTCATTTACAAAGGACTTGTCTAATCATTAGGAGCTCCATCTCTCTGAAAAGCAAGCAAACGGCTGTAATGATAGCTGTGTTTTTTATAGCTTACTTACTTACTCAGCAATGACGCAGGACATGACAGCAAATGGTGAAGTCTCACTGTCCTCCACTCCTAACTGGTAGGCTCCCAGATGGCCATGGGGGACTCCTGTGCACCATGGGGGGATTAAAGCCATGTTAGGAAAGCATTATGGGTCAAGTCATAAAATAATTTGATTTCTGTTCCTCTCCACTGTCTTCTGTCAAAGTGATTGGTCTCCTGGTCATCTCACTGGCTGACCTAATTGTTAATTAACCATTATGGGCTGCCCTCTCTTGTCCATGTCTCACAGCAATCATTTGTTTGACAACAATGTAGTATACCACATGTGTGGCGTATGAACACAAACCAGTTTGTGTGTATGAACAGACTGGGTCTTGCTAAATGGTGATGGTTTCTCATATATTTGATGCCTATTTGTCAATATAGTAATCAGCATTTTTAGGCAAACAAAATGAGTTACAATAATTGATGTTTTCACGAGCACTAAAAATGAACCGTCGTTATTACAATCTGTCTTTAGTATAAATTTGCCACATAATTACCTAACTTTATTATTATTGTTGTTGTTATTTGCTCAGATCATTGGCTCTTTGCACTTTAAGGGTAGTCAGTTGTCTTTTCAAAAATACCTCAGATGAGGTGAAGAGGTCCAGGTGGAGGAAAGTTAAATAAAAAGCTTTTTAAATTGGTATTCATAAAGAAAAAAACAAACAAACAGTTTCCCTGCTTAAAATAAAAGCACACACTAAAATCCACTCTGATGACAGTTGGAAGAATGCAAGGTTTTTTTTGGTGGGGGACTAGAACCCCATCTTTGGTGAGTCTTTTAAGCGTGATTTTTTTTTTTTTTTTGCTAAAAAAACAAAACCAAAGCCTTCGGTCTGGCAATGCGGACAGCAGGCCTTTGATTGAGCTCCGAGTTTGAATTCTTAACTAATAAATTGTTCCATTCTTTTGTGTGGGGCATTAACAGCAGTGGTCTACGTTTTTCTAGCCCTAATCTCAAGAATGCGGCAGCCTCTTGAGAAGATCAGGGGTTTCCTTTTCTCCCTGAGCCAGGTCTTCACATTGTTTTCTTAGAGGACTCCCTGGATTGACAGGCCTCACCGTTAGCCCTCTCCTTGTCCATCTATTTTTACTGATTATAACTAAACACATCAAAGTCAATCAAGGCTGCCAAGCATTTTAAAAGCAGCACACTCCCCTTCCTTGAATGTAAGAAATAACACAAACTTATCATCAAGCTCACAATTTTAGATAGCCTATGAGTATGGTTTTGCATGTGAGGGCGACCTGGGAGGGATCCCTGAGCTCACTGCACAGGTATGAGCAGCTTAGCTTTGTTCAGCGCCCACTCTGACGACAGCTCAGTGAGTCACTCAGACACACAGACTAACCCCCTTTAGTCATGTTCCAACTGACAGCTACCTGACAATAAAATAATCATTAGTGACAATAAAACCCTTACTTTTCAACCAGATGGATGCTGAGCGAGCCAACGCATAGAAAACAGTTTGTGCAGAATACTTTTATCTTTTACATTAATAGAAACAATAGCAATATAGTGGTAAATATAAATTAATAAAATGCCAAAGCCTAAAAGTACAATGCAAAATGCATCTGGGGATGTGGGGAGTGGTGGCGCAGAGGTTAGAGAGGTGGGCCTGTGATCCGAAGATCACCGGTTCACGCCCCGGCCCCGACAACATCAAAATTGTGGGTGGGGTAGGTGAAGCACCCACACTTGCCCCCATCCTCATTCGCCCCACACTGGGAACATGAGCAAGGCCCTTAACCCCCATCTGCTCCCTAAACAGGTCTCTC